AATCCACCATGACTAAGGCCTCCGGGCTGGGTGGTCGCATGTATCGACCACTCATTCGAGGGTGGGCATGTGTTCGAAGACAAAAAATCCACCATGACTAAGGCCTCCGGGCTGGGTGGTCGATTCTAATGTTGAGTCGTTGAAGATATGGAGCTCATTAGAGACCTCAGAAGCAGGTCGAGGATCTTTACATGGTTTTGATTTTGTTGAATTCATTTGTCGACTTCAAGGGAAGGTAAATTGGATTCATTACGGATATAGCTCGAGCAGACATCGGTGACAGGTCGACAATCTTTATTTGATTCAAGTTTTGTTGGATTTGATTTCTCTGACCTCAGTGACAGGTCGATAGTATTCATGATGGCTCGAGCAGGTTGATGACTCCTTATTTCATTCTGATTTTGTCGAATTTATTTTTAGACCTCAGTGGCAGGTCGAGATGGTACTCGTTATTGTTCGAGCAGGTTTATGGATTTATTGGATCTGGTTTTGTTGTATCTGTGCTTTTAATCCCAGTGGCGGGAGTTTATTGTGGATAGTTTGAGCAGATGGAGGATTTTATGGGGTTTGGTTATGCTATATTTGTGATTTTGATCTCAGTGGCACGACGATCAAATACGTAACCGGATATGTTGAGCAATGGAAGGTCAATCAAACTCGTTATGGATAGTTCGAGCAGTGTGGCAGATAGAGGAGGCTCATTTCGAGCAAACTCAGGGATTCATTACAGATAGATCGAGTAGACCTCGGTGGTAGGTCGATGGTATTCATTACTGCACGAGCAGGTTGATTGCATTTTATCTTGGTTTTGTCGAATTGATTTTTCGACTTCAAGGGCGGGGAGATGAGATTCATTATTGCACGAGCAGGTTGATTGCATTTTATCTTGGTTTTTTCGAATTGATTTTTCGACTTCAAGGGCAGGGAGACGAGATTCATTACTGCACGAACAGATTGATTGCATTTTATCTTGGTTTTGTCGAATTGAGTTTTCGACTTCAAGGGCAGGGAGACGGGATTCATTACGACACGAGCAGGTTGATTACGTTTTATCTTGGTTTTGTCGAATTGATTTTTCGACTTTAAAGGCAGGGAGATGGGATTCATTCCGTCACGAGCAGGAATATACAACAGGCTCGAATTTTAACTTTTGAACTGAGGGGCGATAGGACGAGGTGGTATAAGAGAGCTCAAACATGGTGATCGAAACACAACAGACGTAAATTCAAATTATCAAATTCAAGACTTCAGGGAGTGGTCATTCAGTTCTTGTTTTTCGTCCTCAATCGACGATCTCTCAATTCTCGGCGTTCGACCTCAGAGGCAGGTCTCTCGATTCTCGGTTCTCAGCGTTCGACCTCAGAGGCAGGTCTCTCGATTCTCGATTCTCGGCTTTCGACCTCAACGGTCTCTCGATGCACGATTTTCGATTTTCGACCTCAACGGTCTCTCGATTCTCGGCGTTCGACCTCAGAGGCAGGTCTCTCGATTCTGGGTTTTCAGCGTTCGACCTCAGAGGCAGGTCTCTCGATTCTCGGTTCTCGGCTTTCGACCTCAACGGTCTCTCGATTCTCGGCTTTCGACCCCAACGGTCTCTCGATTCTCGGTGTTCGACCCCAGTGGTGGGTCACTCGATTTTTGATATTAGTGGTCATTCGGTATTCATTTGGGGTCCCGATGCTCATTGGGAGGATTGATAACTATTTGGTGGTCGAGGATTTATTTAAATGGTAACCTCAGTGGTAGGTCGACGGAAACAATCCGAAGAGGAATTTTCACCCTTGGATCGAGTCATGCTTACTCGACCAGAGTGGGAGAGACTAGATGATATAGGATATTATCTCGGACCGGGTTAATGGATAAAGCGAATACATATGGAAGGATAAACCCACTAAAACATCTAAGCATAACGATATGGGTCAAGCCCAACTTGGATCTAAAAGGTACACTCCCCCTATAAAAAGAGGCCAAGGTATCTCATTCTTTCTATTCTCTACTCATTTGATGACTACACTTTCTCTCTCTTGATGGAGCACTGACTTAGGCATCAGAGGCCCGACGCCGGGGCCACCCCCGGCGTTGGGTTATTGTAGGTACGGAGGCCAGTCGAGTTGAAGGAGCCCGCGTGAAATCTGTTTCACTTCAATATTTAGAGTTAAATTAGATAAATTTTGAGGTTAAAAATTGGATATAAATTATTTGTTGTTAATTTATATTCAATTAGATTAATAGTCACATATCACTTTTTATTTTCCAAATTATAACCAAAGGAATAAATTAGAGATCATTTGGACTCGAGAGCGACTGATTATCAGTCACCGTCTCCCTCCTCCGCTTTTCCCCCTCTCTCCCTCTCTACCCCCATTGACATTCGATACATTTCCAAGACAGATAAAGAGGCAAACTGTCTGTGCCTTTGAGTGCAGCGGAAAATGGCCGGCAATGGAGGATACGGCGATGCGAAAATAGACTACGTGTTCAAGGTGGTGTTGATCGGCGACTCGGCGGTCGGCAAGTCTCAGATTCTGTCACGTTTCTCCCGCGATGAGTTCAGCCTCGACTCCAAATCCACCATCGGCGTCGAGTTCCAGACGCGCACCATGCTCATACAACACAAGTCCGTCAAAGCTCAGATCTGGGACACTGCTGGACAAGAAAGGTGTTTCATATCATACATATACCTATGTCTATCTCTCATTGATTTCTGCTTAATCGATTTGAATTTTATTTCCTTTTAGTGTTGTTTTGCTGGTTTATGTGTTGTGGAATTGTAACTGGTGTTGGGATTGGGGATGAACTGTGTTTTTCATGTTGAACCGGCTCGTTTGCATCATATTATATGTGGTAGACCGGATTTGAACAATCAATTGGAAAGATCGAAAATCAGCTAGTTATGTTCTTCACCTCTTTTTCTAATTCGGGGTGTTCATGTTTGGGAGAGGAAGTCCAATCTTCTTCTAAGTCTAATTGGGGGGTGTTCATGGTTTCACAATTTTCTGGATCAGCTTAGTTCTGATGTGGAAATTCAATTCGATTCAAGTCGTAATTGGTAACTGCGTTTGAAAATCCGACTAGAAAATGTTTATTTGACCATGTTGTTTTAGTATGTGGAACCATTTTGAAATTCGATTGGAACGAACACGATCTCACAATATCCGTTGCGCTTAATCTAACTTGGAAAGCACCAAATAGTTATAAGAAGGCATTAATCGTAATTTATTTTCTAGTTTTCATCCGAAACTTAGTTTCTTTAAAGCAATCACTTGCTCAAAGTGTTTAGCTTTTTGGAATGTAAGAGTTCTGTGATTATTTTTATTTTTTAGAATTAGAAAACTAATATAAATTTCCTTCCATCGTGAGTAGATACAGAGCTGTGACAAGCGCCTACTACAGGGGAGCCGTGGGAGCAATGTTGGTTTACGACATCACCAAACGTCAGACCTTTGAGCACATCCCGCGTTGGCTGGAAGAGTTGCGATCTCACGCGGACAAGAACATCGTAATCATCCTAATTGGGAACAAATCCGATCTCGAGGACCAGAGAGCAGTCCCCATGGAGGATGCCAAGGAATTCGCTCAGAATGAAGGTCTCTTCTTCCTTGAAACATCGGCTCTGGCAGCTACCAATGTTGAGGAGGCATTCATGACCGTGCTGACCGAGATTTTCAACATCGTGAACAAGAAGAATCTAGCAGCTGGTGAGGATCGAGATTTGCAACATTCTGTGTCTTTGTCTGGCAAGAAGATTGTTGTTCCTGGGCCTGGCCAGGTGATCCCGGAAAAGAAAGGGATGTGTTGCGGGTCGTGAATTTGGCTCGTCTGAGGTGTTTGTGTTGAGTGTTTCTTGTTTTGGAGTGGGTTTGAGTAGTATTTGGTTGTAAATTTAAGAACAGCACTCGGAGATTTTGATGAAGAATATGATTGATTTGGTTTTTGAAGTGGAGGGAAATGAAAGCGAGTGAATAGTTCAAATTCGTGACTGATCAATTTTGAGTAATGCTACAAGTACATAATAGTGTACATAATGGTGTACATAACACTCATATTGAGTGGGGTCCATTTAATTTTTTTATTTTTAGTGGGTCCCACTCAATGTGAGTGTTATGTACACCATTATGTACACTATTATGTACTTGTAGCATTACTCATCAATTTTTATGTGTCCTTTAATATGTGATTGGATATGGAATTGATTTGTTTTGATTGGTTCTTTATTAAGCATATTTAATTTTGAAAAAAGTGATTGCGTTAGATTTGAGTAGAATTTTGAGTTTTTATTACATTAAAATAAATATTTAAAATAAAATGATTAAAAACTGCTAATATTTAAAATAGAATAATTAAAAATTGTGATAGTAACTGTTATAATTTACTTATTTAAGTGTAATAATTTTTTAAAAAACTGCAAATATTAATTAATTATAAATTCATACTAAAAATTTTATCAAAACATTTATTACAAAATAAATATGATCTTTTTATTTTTATCTCGTCAAATAACTTTTTATATAGCTAATTAGTGTTAATGGTATAGAAAACCATTTAAAAAGTGTTTAAACAATTGTTATAATAATAGTAATAATTTAATACATTTTTCAACTATTTAATTGGTCACGATCTAATAAATTTGTAAGAATTGTATTATTCATTATTCTGGAAAATATATGTTGTCATTCGTATCCAAGTGAAAAAAGTTATAATTATATTATTCTTTTGTACTTATTATAAAATTTATAATTGTGTCTTTTTAACTAATTATAA